TGTTTTCAATGCTGTGCTAAATTTGAAGTCAACAAACATCGGTTTCAACAGCTTCTATGAAGAGAGTAATTTTCAACCGTGTTTGACAAAACTGCTTTATTAAGTGTTTCACTCTCTAACTCCCAGAAGTGATCTGACATGTAACTTCCCCCTATAATATTCATACATTATCCAGCAAACAGTTAATGAGAATATTCAAACTTATCAGGTATAAGTCTTGATCAATCACCAAATTGTTTGAAGGAAATGTGTAACAGCCAGAGGGGAGAATGATAACAATCAGGTCCAGTGACTTTAAGGGTTAAGCTCTGGTGTGAGAAATCAGTCGTACAGCCGAGTTTACCAATCAACGAGGGAGGTCCGTTTGCCAATTATTTCAAAAATAGCACCTTTGATACGTTTGGGTTCAAGTGTTTGGTTGGCTGATGTTTTGTCTTTTGTTGGCCGAGACACATCAATGGGTGCTAAACAAAAAGAGCTATTGCAATCAGAGGAGTAACTTTCATTTAGACCGAGTGGCATTGATGTTCTACTCGCTTCTTGGGTTAAGCCGAAGCAATTGTAATCTCGTTAAGACCTGAATTTTTCCTTTATGATTATTCATTAGTATAACGGTAAATTATGGTTGCAGTGAGGAATGACTGTAGAGAACTGCTTTCATGACTGCTTCTTTCTTAATGTCCATGTATAAAATGCATGGTCGTATTTAATGAAAATGAGATGCCAGTAGTGTGTCAGTATGTGAGTGAGCGTGTGATTGTGCAGCAAAGGATATGCTGCATCTCTTTATCATCCCGGCTATGAGCCGATGAGAGCTTCAGCTATGAGAGGACATTCCCTACTCGTGGGCCCATCATGCGGAGTGCCAATCAATCTATTTCTAGCACTTGGTCATACTGCGCGGATATCGTATCAATGCGCTATTGATGAGCTATGATGAACGCGATCAGGTTGCAGGCTGCTGTCCCATTTTCGATGTAACACTCAGGCTTTGGGTATCGAATGAATTATTAACTGAATTATAACCTGCCCCAATGCAAACTCAGGAAGTTCGTGCCTTAAATCCAATTGACTAATCTCTTTAACAAAAAGAACAACAAAACTTGGACTGAATAAACCTAGCTAATCAATAAACCTTGAGACCTAACATGAATGATTCCAGCAAAGCCTCGTTTGCGCCAGAAGACCGAAAAGCATGCCTCAATAGAATTCTAAAAAAAGCTTCAAGTCTTTGCTCTGCCAGTGCCAGTTACAAGAAAGAGACTTGGATCGATTGAGCCTGAAACCGACCGCACGCAATATGGCTAACTCTACAGGTTCTTTCTCTGCCCCAGATGCCCACGTACGCCCAAATTCAACACATGCGACCTCTGAAAGCACATTGTCCAGCTGCCTCAAGCCAAATGACCCAAGTTATGCCTGCCTTTCCGGCTCAACTTGAAAAGCTAAATCCTACAGTAAAAGGAAAAATAAATATCACTTCCAAAATCGAAGAAGCTATTCGCTAATCGGCTAAAAGTAGGTTAAGTACCTAAAGCAAACATGCAATGACGCCAGAATATTAAAGCAATGCTTACATTAACAAACAACCTTACCAGCTTTATGATCATTGATTACTGATGTTTTATGAAACGGAAACAGCTTATTAATCTTCCCATGAAAAGTTGTTCTAACATCTTGAGAGGAATGATAAACTGTAAAACTGGTCTCACTAAAAGTTATGAGATTGTTCAACGAAATAATCCCATGATTCCTCATTTCAGTCATCACAAATCGGCTCATTTTGGGTGTCATGTACTGTCTGCACTAACCTGTGCCCCAAAAGTAATTACTTTAGACTTTCTTTGCAATCATTTGTGTCAGAACTGATAAGTGAAACAATAGTGAACATTGTCAAAGATCAAGTTTAATTTTTCCTAAATTTGTTGCGTCTTGCATTGAAACTGAAGTTGTAACAACTGTTAAGTAACAGTTGGTTTCCGATGATAAGCTGGATACTTTATTTCTAGGTTTGTCTTGTGTTTCATTTAAGTCTCATTTGACTAAGTCTGTTTGTGTGTGATGTATGCTCTTTGGGATTAGTTGCCTCCCTTGTTAAAAAAAAAACTGAAATTTCAACCCATATAAGCCCCTATTGTATTATGAATGATCTCAGCAAAACATTACTACACTTCATGCAGCGATACGCACGACGAAGACGAGATTAAGTTTGTTATACCATGTAAATCAGAAAAATCTGAAGCAGACTATTGAATCTATCAGCACCTAACTGGATAATTTCACCGCTGAAACTCTGAGGGAATCGAAACAACCCCAACTTCCCTTTGCAACACGAGACTCTGTAGGGATTTCTTTGGTTTTTCCGCCTTTCTGTAGTATTGACTTTCTTGGCTCGAGATCAAAGCTCCACTAATAAAGTTAACTTATGTAGCAAACCAAATACAAAAGACAAGCTTTTGGCATGTGGCTTCAAATAAAGGAATCAATCACCGTCATCTCACGCGTTATTTGTATCAGTATTAATCGTGTACGGAGGAAAATTAGTTCCACAGTATCAATATTGCGGTGTTTTTACGTACTCTCTCTCGTCATGCAAGGATATCGTAAACCACTGTGGAATATCAGGCTCTTACCGAGCATAATAGGTGGTAAAGTGCCTATAAGAGAACTTGGGAGTGGTCCAATAAGGTCACCGAAAAGTGATCACTGAGACACTTCAGTGTGATATCTATTCTCCGCGCGAGAAATCTGAACTCGCTTCGGATTTCGCGAATTACCATCATATGGTTTCATGAAACATGTGGTCTAAATTATACAGCAATCTGAACTGACCACGTTAAATATTTTGTCGATCGTGTAATGGTTTCCCTCTGATTTCAAATACACATCCTGACATGTTTCACTTCAGATGACAATATCTGATAACGTTTTTTTTTCTGTATGAAGCAAATGAAATATTGTCAGGTATTTAGGATAACATGACGATTTTCTGGCATTTTGGGTCCGTATCCTTATTTATCATCATTATCGTTAGTTTTTCGATCAAGTCCATAGTTCAATGATTTCGAAACTGATATACCAAAACAAAAAACAAAATGGAGAATAATAAAGTTGAAAGAATGCAAGGCTGATTGTCGCGTGAGCTCAGTGAAACAAGAGATGCTACTACTTTAATTCGCAAAAGCTTCCGAACAATTGATCACGGAAGAATGAGGTGAGTCTGATAGAACGCTCCGGTGCAGTGCAGGTCTCTTATCGATCTCAGTGCTCTAGCGATACAGCATGTCACAACAAGAACAGCACAGCATTTATAAATTTACAAATAATCTCCATCCGTGAATATCTGATCGCACAGTTATCAACTGCGCCTTTGTCATCGTTGGCATTGAGTTTGGCAGCGGGACAAACGGCTCTGCAGGAATACTTACTGAGAGAGGACAGAGAGAGAGAGGGAGAGCAAAGTGAGTTGGATGAGTAGAAATTCACAATTAACATTTGTAAAGCTTGCTACGCTGGATAATACCTGAGAATATTAAGAAGGAATTAACCAATTAAAATTTCATTAAAAGTAACTTTGTAGAGAGATTTACTCTGATCATTTGAGCCTTTCAGCGTATCCCTGTGTCATAAACAAGCTTTGTTCTCTGTGTAAAAATGCATCGTTAGTTGGCAGCAGTTAACTTTTTTCCCACCACGGTGTATATTTGATTGTTTCTTTTTCTCAGGTTTCATTTAAATATGGTGTAACAGCCAGGAGGCTAAGTCAGTGTTACTGCTTGTGATACACAGCTGTCCGATTTGCAGGGATCAAAATCTCTGGCGCGCCATTGGTTCATTTCTCAGAGCCCTTTGCGGGTATTATGTGCTATTTGGGTTATTTAGATTTTTGCACAACAATGGAGTTCACGGGTAATTGATCTCTTAAAATAACTTTTTGTATCAAGGTGGCCAAGTTCTTTTGTTTTGAGGCTTTGCTATTCGTAAGCAGTTGTTAAGCGCATCACTAACTACAAACAATCGGATGACGGGGTTACTGAACGAATCTTCTGGAAAGGAGCAGCCCTCTCCGGTGCGGAATAACCACATTTTAGACTCGTAGAAACTTAGATCTTTCTTGTGCTGGCGCGAATACTGATACTCCTCGCTCAAACATAACTCTTCAACTCTGTTGGATCTTTATGCTCCCTTAGTTTTCTTTAGAATTGTAAACAGTAGGAGCTAGGAAGCAGTGAAGGGCAATTTGTCTAAACACCGCAGGGGTGGTATAGAGAAGTTTTCTGTCACCGGAAGTGCCTAGGTGTGTTATCTCAGCACGAGTGCCTCTGACCGCTGTCAATGCGAAGGTAATTCGTGATCATTGTTTAGTTGACTGCGCCTAAGAGGGTCGATTATTGAATTCGCCCAAGAGTGGACAATCAACAACTGGCAAAGAGAGCCTAATAGTCGCTAGACGTTTCTTCGAATTCGCGCAAGGATAGTAAAAATAGAATATTCGCGTCGCGGAATCGATGTATAGAAACAGAAGTTTTCCAGGTATGTTGGAAGTGTGTTCGTTTTATCAGTGACTTCGCAGGAAGTCCAACTATTTCATTTCCTTTCTACGATTCGACCGATTTGCGTCTCATATGTCTGTTCAAAATTATGTCGATTTTTGAGTTTAATATGGGAGGAAGAATGCTCCGATTTTTCCCGTAACTTATCAGTTGGCTGCTCAGCAAGGTTGGTTATGAATGATGCCCAATACCCAAAGAGTAAATAACTAAGAACGTGACATTTTGAAGATACCGATACATTCATAATTCATGTGAAATTATTCTATAGAATTGAACGAATGAGTCATGATTTGAAATGATGCGGCAAATTGGTCGCTGAAATTACTCACTACAAGGGGCACAGAGCGTAACTTTCACTTACTAAGCTTGTCATGTTCATCGTAACAGATCGGTGAACGAGTGCGTCTAATATTTCACTGGTTGGTGGCTTCAGCTTAAACCCCACAAAGGGACAAATCAAGAGATCCAGGATCAAGGGAGGCAAGCAACCGCTTCTTTCCAAATGATGTTGGGGTTAAGGAGCCTGGTTTTTACAGCTGCATTCACCGTATTAATTAGCGAAACAGTGCAGTCCTGCTCGGGTAAGTCACTTCATTATGTTCCCATGAAAGCCACGTTTTATACTTTAGTCCGATTGTTGAAAAATACGTGATACAGGAATGCAATGAAAATGTCCCAAATTATTTTTTACCTCTCGAGATGAAACTGATCTCTGATCTTTATTGTTTCACGTCGACAACATGCAATTTTTGAGAAAGTGCCGATTTCATTTAAAATCGACAAAGCGCGTGTCAATTTCGGAGATATCGACGTCAGCGTTGAATTGAGTGTCCATTTCATGAACTTGACGTAGCTCAAATTTGTTTCGTCTTCGTGTAGTAAACCGCGCAACAGAAATCCATTTATTCCTAAGCTTATAAAACTGCGGCTTCCTTTCGTAAGTCGTCCGACACTTATGACTAACTATTTAACTATGCTATCTTTTGTGTAAGCGGCCTTCGAAGCTTATTTGCAACGTTTCAATTACAATCCGCAAAACGAACCGACTCTTCAGTTGAATAGTTTCGCAACTTGCTTTTCATAGTTAAATTGGCACAACGGGAAGGAGATAATTATTTCGCTATTACAAGAAAGAAAAGGGTGCGAAAATTAAGCGAATCTTAACTTGACTTCGGTCAAAACCGAATTGCAACTGAAAACAAGGCTCTATTTCATTGTTATACACTGTTATTGTTGGTGAACAATTGACGGCTATTTCGGTCTTCCACCACCCAGTCTTTAGGCCCAGGTACAGCGCTGATTATCTATCGCTGTGTAACCTTCTTTTAAGGTGGATATCTATGAGTTCAAGCTATCACTGTGAAGCTAAACCGAGCTGTAAAAACGCAACAAACACATAAGCGGGGTGCACCAAAGCATGTGATATTTAGAGGCCTTTTAGATGTAATTGGAGCTTTCAACATCATAACATGCACTAAAAGTACATCTAAAAACTTTATTAGTAAACTTCAGGGCGAAATTTAAGTCCATTAAACGCAAGAAATAAACAGGATTCCCTTCCAATTTGCACTGTGTTCAAAATTAGATAGGAAAGCGGTGCTTGTTTAAATTAGAAAGCAATCTAGATGGAACATAATTAGTTTTAAGCGCCAGTCACTCGTACAATGGAAAATTTAATCACTGATCAGTGGAAAATGACACTATGCAGCGCTAAAGCTGTAATCATAATTTGACAATTTGAAATATCTCTAGACTAAAACTCCCAAGAAAACGTTTTACTTTGCGCTCACTGCAAAACGTCACTCACAGTAAAAGGAAAACTTTTGACGGCCATCAATTTGATGCTACAAATATTTACTGTTGTTTGTTGGACGGAAAACAGTGCCTTCATTGTTAGAACTAACAGATCTGATGCCGCTTTAATGCGTCTACCAGAATACCATCATTTACGCCTCGATTTTTTCCCCGAGCAGACGCAAGCAGAATCGACTTTGTTTTGACGCTATCAGTCCTGTCTGTTGTGGCGAGCCCTCTGCCAATCTGGTTGCGTGTAATCTTTGATTGTTTGCCAGAATGGGAAACAAGAACAATACTTGTTAGGCAATCGCATTGTCTTTTCTGAAGTAAGTTGCCTCGCTGGCGTCACTGCTATTAACCCACGCGAGACCCTCCGAGTTAGAGGCTTTCTCAATATTCTCTTTCATTAACTGAACTTGAAAAAGCGGAAAAATCGCCCTTTTCTGAATTTTATTCACTGTATAATGATATCGATAAGCAAAGGAAAAGCCACACAAAGCCGGCAGATTAAGCAGAAGAGATAAGGCTTCAAGCTTGTCTCAAAGCTTTCTTTTTCGTCTTCTTGCTGCCTCCCATGACCCGACCCAAAGAGCCATCTATTTTAAATTTATATGGACAGGTCGTCTCTTGTTTTGTTTTCTCTCCAAACAACAATGATGGCTTGGAAGAAGTTCTATCTTAAGCAATAAATTGCTTTTAACAAGGCACAGACTGCTAGGAGTTGCACAGCTGTGCTGTCAACTTCTCAATATTTTCCCGGAAATTTTGGATCTCCTCGGTGGTTGAAAAAGACATTACCCCACCGACCTAATCTAAAAAAAACCAGCCTCTTTGTCACTTGCTCGATCTTTTAACTCGGGGCGTGAGTTGATCAAGTGAGCGGTGGCCTGCACCTTTTTCAGTAGAAATTGGAACGTAGGTCAAAAGCTGATGTGTGAACGTTTTGCTGAAAAAGAAGAATACTACTTGTTATCTCTTTTCTGTTTTCCTAGGATGCAGAAGCGTTGTTATTAGTTTATCTCCATTGCAAAATATCATCTCTTTTAAATCCGGCAATACCAGTCACTGGACACATTAGTTCTCTTCATGATATCAGTATTCCTTACACCTACGAAAATAGAATAATCGATTCTATTGAAGACGCGCGCGTCTTCCTGTATCAGTATGGAAACGTTTAGAATTTCACATCCTTCCCTTTAGTGGGATCATGGGGTCGACACAGTGTCAGAGAACAATTTCATGATTTTCTCGTGAAATGCATGTTCGCCAGCCCTTCGCCTCTAGAAGGTGACGGGGAATTATATTCAGCTGCAAATGTTTTGATCTTACAAGAAGCGGAAAAGTACCCACTAGTGTTTTCTCCGCATTCAACCAATATCGTCGCATTATTTTGGTCTGCTAATACAAAGTCCTGTTGTGTTGATTCGAGGTCAAAATACACGTGCTCAGTACAACGAAATGCAACACTGTAAAAGCAGTTCCTCGTGGTTTGTGAAATCCCAGTAAGACGTCCAATAGGTTAAAACTTGCCAAGGCATCATCCGTTGTACGTGCATTAGGGCTCGTCGGCTATCAAAATCTCATTACGTGAAGATATTTCGCACCATCAAAATAGTATATTTAGTTTACTATCCATATATTAATATTGATTTACTCAAGGTAGCTCTTGTCTCACAGAATAATTAAGTTACCAGCCTAATCCGACTAAGACTTCATAAACGAGCTACTGTATAAGATTCCCTCTTTGTCCCTGATTCTTTTATGAAATTTGAGGCGAGGTTAAGTTTTCTTTGAATTTTTATCATCTTTGAGTCAATGAATTTCCCACCACCATATTTATTCACAAACATGACCATTCGATCCAACTTTTCATAGCCTAGTTTTGTCTCTCTCTAGCTTCGCTCCTTCGTTCATTCGTCGGTTCGTTCGCTGACTCGCTCGTGCCGCTGGCATTCACTGGATTAGAAGCTTTGTATCCTACAAGGTTCAGATTATTCGACACTCATTTGAAATATTTGAGCTACCACTTTGTTCCTGAAGAAATAATAATTTGAGCAAATAGAAGTCGACAATCCTCGACGATGAGTTTTGTTGCCTCTTTGTCTTGCTTTTGCTTTTAAACCGCGATCAGAGAAGCAAAAAATTCTGTGACTGGCGAGGGAATGAGCGGATTTGAAACATGTAAAGCAGGAAACTAATTTTCACGAAAAATTATGTGATAAAGTCGGGGTAAAGAATTCAGTGTTATACGTGTTATCGGCTTTATGCTGCTGCAATCCCAGATGCTTTCTCAGAAATTTCTTTCTGAGAAGTCCTTTCTCATTACTGTCATTAACCAAATCAAAAACACTTCCAAACCAAGTCCTACCAAGAGCTGATTGGTATTTTTACTCTTGTATTTGTTCAGTTTGGGTTGGAATTGCAAGGGAGCTAAAGGAAAAAAGCCGTGAAAATCTTTTCAATCAGGAACTGAGGCATCCTTGAACACGACTTTTTTATTATGTCATTTCGATGGAATAATTTGCTTGGTCTGGGATCAGTTACTTTTAAATTTAGAGTAGTATGGAAAATCAACCAAGCATTTCTTATGCGGTCTTCTAATATTTCCGCTCCAGTCTGAAAAATTTCATTCTCTGCTGTCTGATCGATTGAGATCGCATGCTTTTTATTTTTTTTTTCTCTAAGACACTTTTGGAGAGATTCGTAGATAACAATACTCTTTGAAATTGGACTAATCTGAACGAAAAGGCAAGAACAAATATTTAGGAGATATAACAGTCTGACAAATATAAACTCCCAATTTTTTTGTTTATGTAAGAATTTCTCATATAAGTCTTTTTTCATCAACTGTTGATTAGATCTAACTTAGTATCACGAAGCAAGTGCTCTGTACTTGTCCCCCCGAAACAAATTTTAAAGTGGTGGGAGACTTAATTAAAACCAGAGTGGTTCCTGTCTCAGTTTCAAGGTTATCCATAAATATGCCGTGACTGTGCCTGTTTGTCTCAAGCGGAAAAACCATACGTTCTTTCTCGATTTGTCATTCGGTTTTTCGAGACTAATGTTGCAGAAAACCGGTATTTCCTGTTCACTGAATTCAATTTACTTCTTGACCTTTTTCATGACAAACTTTACAAGACGAAAGGCAGAGCAATCTTTATGACAGACGATGACTCAAATAATAATGCATGGGAAAATTCATTACCAGAGCTACGGATAATTAATAATTTAAAAAAAAATAGTTTTCCAGCCATACAATGATTATTTTGGTATCGACTTGATAGAGACGATGGTCAAAGTATGAGTTTTTGTGGTTGTAGTAATCACGATATAACACGAAAAAACTTCTAAAATTTTCAAACCATGCAGTTAACGTGCAAATGCTTTTGAGTATGTTTTTTCTAAAGAATTTGTGTGTTAAGTGACGGATTAACCTTTAAACGTTTTTTTCTGTAAGACGACGGCTATGAGTAGATTTACGTAATAAAAGCTTTCTAAGCCACAGTAAGTCTGCCACGTAGGACAAAAGAAAAGTCAGTCAGGCACTCACTATTGACATCTGGACTAAACTTCTTAGTTGCACAATATGCAGACCCGATGTCTAAGGCTTGATTTACTGTAGGACTGCGTAAGCCGTATATAAGCTCTTTTGTGCTTACAGTCAATCAAGCCTAACCTAGCCACGAAGCTTAAATTTTGCAGGAATTCATAATTAGTTGTTAATTGAAAGTGCCAAACTGCCTGGTTAGGATTCGAAAAGTTTTGAAAGAAGGTCACTTCGTTTCAGCGTTAATTTGCGATATTTTAACCTTTCGGTGACCTTTCATGAATGTCCGGTTTTTCTCAAAAAGAGACGGGAACAATAGGAGTAGTGACGCCGCTGACCTTGTGAAAGGTAAACAGAGCTTTCTCAAATTGTGAATTCCATATTTCAAACCAAAATGCACTGTTCATTTGCCCACTCTGTAAAAAATGTTTTGAATAGGCAAGGACGTTCTGGCAAAGGCCTAAATTAACGAGTGCCAGAGGCAAACCGAACTTCAAAATTTTTTTCGGTAACCATGAAGCCAGTGAGGACTTGGGGACAAAAGAAAAGGGCTGTAAAATTTAGCCTCAACCAGTTTATAACAAAATCATTATTAATTTATCCTTGCCATGAGACAGAATACAAATGTAGTCTATTCCTAAACTCAAACCATCTCTTTCAGTTCCTAACATTCGTGATAAGAGTGGAAGGCAAATAAAAGTCACCGAGGTGACCAACGGGAGGGATGTGAAACTCACTTGCCAGATCAGAACTGTTGGTCAGGCCTCAAAACCAAGGTATTACTGGCTCAAAGACAATCAGACGCTCAGTCCATCGAATCATCAACGTATGAGGTTAAAACTCTACAGATACTTAAAGATAAAAAATGCCCAGAAAGAGGACGCCGGCTTCTACACCTGTGTCGCGGTAAATGACTGTGGCCAGAATTCTTTTACAATACAACTATTTGTCGGAAGTAAGTAAAATATTTGTGACCCTCTGATGTTTTTAAAACTATAGCCACGCGCGTAATTTATAGTGAGATCCTGAGAGGTTAAGCTGGGAAAGTTCTTTTATGCTCTCTGTGTGCGGAAAAGGAGGTGATTTCAGTTTGTGTTGAAGTTGCTGAAGTGAGAAATTAAAGCGGGTAATGAAGGTAATTACTCCTTGCCATGACTACGGACGTTTGTTACAAACGAAGGTACAATGTTTTCTTTACCATTAACCTTTTACACCCTAAGATCAGGATGCATATTCTCCATACTGTTTTCTATACATATCCTAAGGTGCTGACAAGGAGATTTGCTTAACAATCAAGAGCTCCTGTACTTGTTGATCATTTCCAGTATTCTCATGACCTTAATGTTTGATTTAGGGGTTATACTATGAGGAGAAATTAGGTGCCAGTCACTCTTGGGGGTTAAAGGGTTAAAGTAATGAGCTAAGGAGAGCTAAAAACTAAAAACACCGCTAGGGCATGGGAAGGGAGATTCAGGGGGATGTAGTCACAGATAACTTGCATTACGAAAGAGCTGTCCACGGAGAGAAATCCTTAGTTTTTTTTTTTTTTCTTTAAGGTCCAACAATGGATCCCAACAAAAATACAACAGGAGGTAAGACAGGTGTTCTTGCATTTCTTATCAGAGGAAGAAAAAAAATGAAAGATGAATATAGAAGTAGTTCAATTGATGCAGGGGCCAATTTTAGCTTTTTTTTTAATTAGAGAAGTCGATTCTGCCACTAGAAATAGACCGATATTGAAAAAAATTGACGTGGGGTTCAAGCTTATCATCCACAATTCCCATTAAATAAACCTTTCAGGTTAAGACATTATAAAATTTAATTGCAAAATAATAACAATTTGGCTGTCGTATTTGTCATCCAGTAGATTTCGTGAGTGTTTAACGTTTTATGCGTCCAACATTAACACGGGAACAGAAGTGGCTTAAACCCTTCCACTCTCAAGATCGGATTGTTAATTCTCCCTCTAGGTGCTACACATTTCCTTGTAAATTAGGTACGAGAATTTGGTGTTAGATCAAGAAAACAACCCTGTAACTGATAAACTTTCAGTATTCTCATTACATGTTTGCTGGATAATAATGTTATGGGAAGAAGATACATGTTAATCACCTCTATGAATTAAAGGGTTGAAAGGTTGTGCTTCAAAGTGACGTACAAAATTGAATCAAGTTACGTCTGCTCTCCCCCCCCGCCCCTCCCCCCTTACCCCTTGTGGAGGCGCGTGGCGTCGTGGTTAGTGCGCTCGACTCCGGATCGGGTGGTCTGGGTTCGAGCCCTGGCCGGGGTCATTGTGTTGTGTTCTTAGGCGAGACACTCTACTCTCACAGCGCTTCTCTTCACCCAGGTGTACAAATAGGTACCAACAAATGTGCTGAGGGTAACCCTGCAATGGAATAGCATCCTATCCAGGGGGGAGTAGCAATACTCCCAGCCGCTTCATGCTAAGAAAACCGGAGTTAAGCACTGGCCCCATGGACCACTTGGGCCTGTATAAAAGCTTTACTTACTTACTTACTTACTCCCCCTCGAAGCTTAATTCTCAATGAACGAATTTTTTGCCGACATCTGAATTTACTGAGATGCAGTTTAAGTAGGATAGATTATACTTGGCGGATAAATAATACCTTCAGCCATTTGTAAGGTCTAAATTTGTGACACCATTCCATGCGTCAAGTCGGAAATAAAGCGAGACTTTCCGCTTTAAAATTCTTTATTGAGTGGGAGATCGTTCAATGCATGCACTGGCTGAAAATGTTGAAAAAGCGACTTTGCCTCAACCGTGGTTATTCTGTATATCGCAGTTGCTCCAAAATTTACGGTGCATCACAACAAGATGATGCGCAACCTTCTTGCAGTACCCGTTGGTAACTCTGTAAAGCTGGACTGTTCTGCCGATGGAAACCCTCCTCCCACCGTGAAATGGTACAAAGACGGAAAATTGTTTACGGAAAGGAAAGGTGGCAACAAATTGTATCTGAGTCAAAGGACAAATATATTGAATCTGAAGGACTTGGTTCCCTCTGACACTGGGTCATACACTTGTAATGTGAGCAACTCATACGGGTGGATTAATCATACATACAAAGTAGACGTTCATGGTAAGGACAAATCTAGTGGTAAAAGAATTCTTGGTTCACTCTTAAATTTTGCTATTAAATGCTTTTTTGTTCTCGGAAGATCCCATTCTCCGAAGTAAGTTGTACATTTCCGATCCCTTCTCTCAAAAAGAAAGAGTCGGTCAATTATTGAATTAGCAAATTTGCAACTTAGTTATTCAATCATCATGTCTCTCTCTGTCTTAAACAGTTAGTCTGTCGGTTGTTGTGAGCAACCTCGTAATAACTGTCCTATGTGTACTGTGTACTTCCAACACTTTAATGAACCCTGTGTTTCAGAACGAGCTCGTGCTGAACCAGTAGTCCTTCCCATGGAAAATGTCACGGTCTATCGAGGAGAAAATGCCAGCTTAACATGCAAAGCATTAAGTGATTCCATGCCTCATTTCCAGTGGCTGAGGTGGTTTCACACGCATTCCAATAGTTCGACTAACGGTTCAATTGAAAGTCCACACTACGAAATCGTGAATAAGGACGACGCAGACCAACATGTAATCGTACCACCAACTAGTGGCAAAAAGTTTGATTTCCACGGAGTGAAGTTGACTTTGGTAAATGTTACGAAGAAGGACGTGGGCAAGTACACTTGCATTGTGGGTAATGCTGTCGGCTACGCAGTCGAACATGCTTACATTTCCGTTCGCGATCGGCCAGGTGAGATAGTTACGAAGATGATGATTTAATGAATAATTTGAATAGTTTAATAAATAATTATGATGAAAATTTTTGGTTTTTAAGTAATAGATAAATCTGAATAAATAAGGGTTAAAGAAGGAATACACAGAGGGATGCGTGAAGTATCTTAAGCGCGATCAAGTGAACGAACCAGCCGATCAATGCTCGAAGGATCGAGTGGACGAATTAACCATTAATTAATGAAATAATACTCTTTTATTTTTTTCTTCAGAACAAACAACTTCGTCACAGCCTAACACGATCAGCGCCGTAAACATCACCTCTTTTCCCCCCAACCGGAATGTGGAGGCACAAATAGTGAAAGCTGATTTGCCACAATCAAAAAAGAATATGTACATTGTAGTGTTTACCATCTCATTCATGGTTTTGGTGTGTTTTGCATTGGGGTTCTTCGTCTGCCATCGCAAGCTTAAGTTCTATAAAAGCGCTGATTATGGTATGGTTTCCCCTGATAAACCTAACGAACTTGCTGTCCAGTTTAGGACACATGCGACATCGGTCGGTTCCTCTTCGTCTTACGGGTCTACGGTTCCATTATTACGTCAGAACAGTTTGCGCCTTCGAATGGGTTCTAATTTGACACAAGTGTCAGAAGTGGAAATGCCATTGGACCAAAAATGGGAAATTGATAGGGAGCAGATCGTGTTGTTGGGGCTTCTTGGAGAAGGAGCTTTTGGTAAAGTCATGAAGGCTGAAGCGCTTGGATTACCCAATATGCCCTACAGATTCGAGGTTGCTGTGAAAATGTTGAAAGGTGGGGTTGATTTTCTTGTGTATCTGAATTATACCTCCCTCAAGGTCTGAATGCGTCACTGAGGCTGCCCGAGTTTCGTTATTGTCAAAAACAGACTTGTATGTGATTGCTGAATTGAAGAACTTCACCGACTTAAAATTTTTACCCTCACCGAAAAATATCTTAACATTCACAATTCTTATTAACGTTATCTCACCCCTTTTAATTGAAACGGTCAATCCTGTCATTTATTTCAGAGGATGCCACTGAACACGAACTTGCAGATCTTATATCAGAGATGGAGGTGATGAAAACTATTGGAAAACACAAGAATATTATCAATTTAATCGGAGCCTGCACACAGGGAGGTTAGTTGATTACTCCACACCACGGAAAAACGTTTTTTCTCCTCTCGTTGGTAGGGATGTTAAACTAAACCATGATTCTACCATTATGCTCTTCATTCTCAGGTCCGCTGTTTGTTGTAGTGGAGTACGCGCCTAATGGTAACCTAAGACAATTCTTAAAAGATAGGAGACCGACCAGGGAATACACGACCACCCTAACCCTCAAAGACTTAGTCTCTTTTGCCTATCAAATTGTGAGAGGAATGGAATATCTTTCTTCAAAGAAGGTTAGTGTTTTGTATATCATCCATCTTCATTTCTGAAAAGGAACAAATCTAGCTGAGAGAATAACCCAAATGATTTCAGGGGATGTAATCGAGTTTTAATTTCATGATATCATGGAGTTTTAATTTACACAATGAAAGAAAGTAAAGCCGTCAACTTCTTTTCAAAGGCTGTTGGGAGAAGGAATTGAAACCTGGCGATTAGCAGGGTGGAATCCCATTTAATCCTCTGACACCAACTTGTAAAGCCACCCTTCCCTAAACACTCTTAGCTTGTTGGAGGAGATTTGGTGGTGGTCTCTGAGTTGTTAATTGTTTCTGTCTAATTCTCAGTGCATTCATCGTGATCTCGCGGCAAGGAATATTTTGGTTGGAGAGGATAACACAATGAAGATCGCAGATTTTGGACTTGCAAGAGATGTTCATCAAATCGATTACTACAGGAAAACAACAGATGTAAGCTATAATAGATTCTTAGTTTTGTTATACACTAGTGAGAGGACCGAGTGGAGTTCCATTCGGTCTGTAGTCATACGACTGACTTCACGAAAGTGTGTGTATTTTTCCGAAAATATATCATTCAAAAATATGATTACAGACGCAACTTGAACAAGAAAGAAAAAAGGGAATCATGGGTTTAGCAATTGAAAGAGTCTGAAAGAGTCTGATTCTGTTAGTTGGAATACGATAGAAAATAAATCCATTGGTCTTAAGACCCGTCCACTTTCTCGTTTGAACTGTCCTTTTTGAATGACGACACGATCTGTTATCTCACTCGCCATTGCCCCCTCAATCCAGTGAATTATTAGATTGCAGTATTCAAATCTTAAGATACTACTCTGTGTCACCAATATTTTTTGTCTTGATCATTAGGGTCGCCTTCCAGTGAAGTGGATGGCAATCGAAGCTCTCTTTGATCGGGTCTACACAACGCAGAGTGATGTGTAAGTAGTTTTTTTTCTCTCATGCGGAGTGAAGATGGTGAAAGACATCACCACACAAAATGAACAAATGAAATCTTATCTTTTAGCACCATTCGAAGTACTCTGCATACAAAAAAGAAAAGTAATTATGATAACATTGATAGTGGAGATAGAAGTGATGATGATGATGATGATGATAGTGGTGAAAATAATAATAATCTTAAGATTAAAAATGATATTAATAACAATGATGATTATAATAATAATATTGCTGATAATAGTACTATGTCAATTCTCTACCTCTTGCAGGTGGGCGTTTGGCATACTCTTGTGGGAAATAGTTACTTTCGGTAAGTAAATTAAATTATTTTTCATTAACATGGAGTGTTTTTTGAAAGGGAATAAGGAAAGGCGATGTGAAAGGTAAATCAGCCAACACCGAGTTTATGAGAATCTTTTTTGTAACAGAGACATAATTAAGCTTGGAACAGGAATTAAAAATTTCGTTTTGGCCCTTTTTTCGTGACTAGGTGGCTCACCGTATCCTGGTGTACCTTTGGAAAACCTTTTTGAGCTTCTGAAGTCTGGACACAGAATGGAGAAACCTTTGAATTGTCCTGACAACATGTGAGTGGCTAAGGATATTTTTTTTGGAAATATTTAAATTTAGCCTCAGACAACGCACTTTTGTTGTTCAATCAGTGATACTTTACTGCTGTAAGCTAATGGCTGAGTCAACCGCAAAGCTTTTTCTAGAATGACTTGAGTACTATTCCGCACGTAACAGCCCGATCTTTATGAGATATAACATGCCTTAGGTCTCTCCGTTTCCCTTAGATATGAAATTATGTTTAAATGTTGGAAAGATTTGCCGCTGCACAGACCAACCTTTCAAGAATTAGTCCAAGAGTTTGACGCTATGTTGGTGTCCCTGTCGGACAAGGTTAGTATCGTTTTTCTTGATCATCAGTGTTTCTCTTTGTTTTTTTTTTTTTCACACTCTTTCTATTCTATTGCTTGTCAAAATTTGTTATTAATTACAAACATCATCTGCACTATCTTTAATTTCCTTTGACTGAGTTGAGGGAATAACCTATATCAAGAAGAAAGGGTGCACGTTCATAACAAAGTTGTTTAACCTTTTAACCCTACGAGTGATTGGCATTTAATTTCTCCTCACCATATCACTCCTGAATCAAACATTATGGTCACGAGAATAAAGGAAGTGATCGCCAACTTAAGAAGCTCTTGATTATTAGACAAATTCTCCTTGTCAACACCTTAGGAAATGTTTAGAAAACAGTATGGAGAATATGCATACTGATGTTAGGGTGTAAAGGGTTAAATGAAAAGTTTTGAATTGTGGACAGCAATTCTCCTTACTCCTTGTTCATTCTTCTTTTATTCTGTGTCTTTCTAGAATTTGATAATACTTATTAACGTCGTCTGCACGATCTCTAGCTAAGGCAAAGGGAATTCCCTAGTGTAGTAGGAAGGGGTACATAAGTAACTCGAAATTGTTTAATTAGATGAAATTAACCCATTCTTTTTTAAATACTTTCCAGGAATATCTTGACTTAGATGCAGTTTTAATGAGTCCTTTGGAACCTCAAACTCCCACGTCATCAGAACCAAATTCAACTCCACGAAATTCGTTAGGAACTGATCATTACACGGATAATGATGACAGGGACACTGACAATGTATTCGTTGATAATCCCAGTGATGTATGGGAATCCAGACAAAATACACTTACGGCTCTAAGAAGAGATTCAGAAAGCATGGACACTAGAAAAATGAATAGCGTCGAACAGCTGGACAAAAAATTTGCGGTACAGGAACGAGCCGGAGATGCCGACGAGGACAAAAAACAAACACGCGTCGTTGCGTCTCGCTTACCAATACAAAGTGATGTGTAATCAAGAGCATTTATACGTAACACGCGTTACATCAGTCTATGGTGGAGCCAAAGATCACGCATGAGTTTAAGTCACGCACATAATACGGTTATTTAGCCACCTGATCCTGATCGATGGCTCATGGGTGTTATGGAAGGGAGTCAGGATTTTTACTACGAATGACTAATGACTCAAAGAATAGCCACAGAGATGTATTCAAATTGCAGTATACACTACATGAAAATATCATGAGAATTCAGAAAACTACGCTAATGAATGAGGTTCCTAAACAACACAAACGCAAATTATAAAACGGGTTTTCTTTTAACTCGGGAAAGCCGACTCAATAGAGGTTTTTTATGCTATGTTGGTTAACTTTACAGACATGAAGCCTGCACTAGGCAAAGTAGTGTAAAGCTGGATACATGACACGCAGGTTTCTTTTGCACCATCTAAGCAAACATTAAACTTTGGTGTTGATTTTATGTCTCACATTTGAACACAACTCAAAATTAAAGGAAGCCAGAGATAGATAACTCATAGCGAATTATTAAATAGAAAGTTTTATTATTAAAAGGAAGATTTTGTGTTTTCAAGGTTTTTGTCATTTTTTATAGCATTAATCAGGGTAGAGCTTGATGACCTAAACAATAACCTCCATTTAAAGTGAAAATTTGGTTGGATATTTGTCCGAGAAGGGAACAGTTATGCAAGGGCAAAGTTCGGGAAATTGTTTGAATTTCGAGTGACAGATAATGTCTAGGGAAAAATATAGGAAGATGTATTTGTTCCAAATGAAGGCTATTGTGTCAGTATCCGTCAAACAGTTTTGCAGCGCGAATGAAAGTCGTGTAAAAGCAGCTTATTGTCCAAAACGTTAAGTGTGTGTGCGATTTTCATTTCTGTAGTACGGCAAATTATGAACAAATAAGTAAGTCTCTTCTTCTGTTGCTTGACATGAACAAAAACGCTCCGTCATCTTGTATCGTGATATAAACTAAGACTTTCATGAGGTAACAGTGAAAATTGGGGAACATTACTAAATGTTCCTCAGATAAGATGGAGTATATTCGATAAAGTGAAGAGTTTTGAACAAACGCGCGTGGGCAAAGATATCAAATGGGTTATGAATGTGGACATGCGGGCGTGATTCATTCCAATACCTAAATTGTCACTCGTACAGTGCGCTCAATTTGTAGTAATTATGACCAAACCTTAATAAAAGGCAGTTCTTGCGATATCATCAGCGATGATCGGTCTCTCAGTTGCTTATAAAACCATTACCGCCATCCGTGGCGCAAGTCTCTTTCCAAGCAAAACCCAATTGGTGGTGTGATAGTTATTAACTGAACACTGACTCGCAGAACAACTGCATTGTATTATCCCTCTCATTACAACCGGCGTGAAATGGTTGATATGTGCATGCAGCATTATGTTGCTGTTTGGCTGAAGAAACAAGAAACTACTCCAGGAATACACTGCTCTTTGCCACGCCTCTCAGTTGCTTGGTAACTTTAGTCTTTCGATCGAGACCTGAGAGCTCAAGTATGCCTAAAAGTTCAAATTAAACTTACCCAAACTATCACGTTTTCCGGCCACTTAGTCTTATGCAGTATTCAGAATACACTTTAATTGTTGAGTACAATTACAAAATTATTTCATAAAAAGTTCACTTACGATCTACAAAAATTTTCCTTCCACTCATTAAAAGCTCCCATCTCTGTGCTGATCCAATTAGACTGACGTCACATCAGGCCATTCACGCACGTGGATAAAAGTTGTACTTTAGTCGCCGACTCAAAATAAACTGAACCTGCGACTTGAAGTTCATGATCCTTTACACGAAATTCTTCATTTGGGTTTTAATGTGGGAGGAACGACAACTCTTTATAGCATCATTCTGAATTCTGTGACACGAAAGGTAAACTTCGAGGAAAATGCTTGTGACATTTGTGCTCGGAACCGGTTTAATAGAAGAATGACACTGGCGAACTGGAGAGAATGTTTAAAAGTTGGTCCTGCGCCAAGAAAACTGCGATACTTTGTTTCTGGTAAAATGCAGTTTATTCGTTTACGCTCTTTCTTAACAAAAGGTAAGACCATTAGTTTGATAATTTAATTTGTTTGAAAAGTATTTTGCGTCAATCCGACTCATTTTACTCTCGATATAGTGTAAGGAAAGTTGTTTGCCGGGCTGTTACGTTCTGAGATCACAATAAATTTGATCTTTGTTGTGTTGAAAAATAGTTAAAAATCGTTAGCATAAAACATTGAACTATAAGTTAAGAGAAAAGAGCCGATGGCGTGCTGTGATTGGTCAGGTGATGTTCACTATACTTAGAGAATTTTGACGATTGGGAGAGACAGAACTCTTTGGAACCAGATGAATTCCAATATATTAACACATTAACTGATGATCTCCTGAACTCAGTTTATCGTAAGGTACCAGCCAACATCTCTTAAGCCACTGATTGACCACAGACGGCTCCAACTTGAACAGCGCATGTCCCCAACACAATAATAGAACAAGGTTAAACGCTCCATGCCTTTCTTTCAAACTTGGCTCATTGAACCCGGCTACCAGCTATAGCTGGGTCTCCTCCGAAGATTTCTTTATTTTGATTTTTTCATGTCTGAAATTAAGAACCAAATCGGCATTTTTTGTGGCATGCTATTACAGTGCAGTTATTTGTCATCAAATGCAAATAAAGGCCTGGATGCTGAGCAAACGTCGTGGGACAACTAACCCTTTACCTCTTGGCATGATTTGTATCTTATTTCTCCTCGCGGTATCACTACTAAATCAAAGATTAAGGTCACGAGATTACAAGAAATGATCACAAACTAAAATAGCTATTGTTTGTTAAACAAAGCTTCCACGTCAACACCATAGGGAATATGAAGAGGGTAGTTTAGAGAATGTGCATGATTTATTCAAAATTTTTAATTCTTAGTCTTACGTTGACCTGTTTTGGAGGTTCAAATGCTGGAAATGGCTTTGAAAACTCGTTCAAATTGTGATCAATGGCAGGTATGCAAGCCTTAAAGTTAATTAGGAATTTTTTTCAAAAGATAAGCACAAGTACGCTTGCCCAACCTTTTTGAAGAGCAGATATTGAGAGTGCAAAGTTCCCCTCCCCCTGCCCCTCAACTTAATTAAGAGTGCTTGGAGTGAAATAATACCCGAGGGGTTTGATTGTGATTTGAGGGTTTTCTGTGTGAATGAGTTCAAAATGGTTATCTTTCGGCTGCATAGTTAGCTAATGCAATTGGCAAAGTCCTTGTGTAGCGAACAAAGCTGTTATATTACTATCACATGAGTTTTTTATATATATATATGGATGGTTATAAATAGCACTAGATGCTAAATGCAAACAATCTGAAGAAATAAAACGATTTGACTTTTCCAAAGTGAGTTTAAGATTCATTCTGTACTTCTAACAGATTTGAAGAGTTTAAAGTCTATTTCCAAATCATTTTGATCGATCTATTTTAGTCGTTTAGTCTGACAAGTATAGTTCCTACCAGTTAGGTAAACAGGAAATTGCAACAAAAAAAGCTGGAAAAACAGGAAACTTGACGGTTTATTTTGTTTTCATGACATTGATAAACGCGAGGGTCTTGCATTTGGAAGGTCTGGTCCACAGTTCTGTTGTAAACTTGGTGATCTAAGAGACTGGATTTCAAAGAACGAGAACAGATCATATCTGAACTTTATTGAAGGTAAAGTTGCACTGCTTGGCTTTTGACAAAAAGCCAAATGGTTTTTTGGTTCTATGATTACAAATATAATTTGCACTAATACTCGTCATCTCACAGGAAATGCTTTGAATTCATTCACTTGAAAGTCTCGTGAAGACAATGCCCGAATTTTTTTAAATTGAGTTACAAAATTTTTCCCATAAAGATTTAACTGCGATAACTTTGAGTTCTGTTTAACACTACGAAGTCTGTTATGCATTAAAAATGCATTTTCATAGAGAATTTTTTTTCTTTCGCATCGGAAAAAAAGGTTTTTTTGATACCAAACTTGATTACTTTCAAAACTTCCGAAAGCTTAGTTGTTTATCTGTTAGCAGTTTAATGATAGTTCATTTACTTAAGGCACACAGAGGTTAGTTTTTTCTGTAGTAATGTTTTTCGTCACCAGATACACATGAGAAAAGTCATTGTTTTTGGTATTTTTAGGCTGTGGTGAAGCTTCATCTTGGCTGAACTTCGCTCGCAGGTAATTGCGTGATTGATATGCTGAAAAAATCCACCGCCTCTCGGTTACGACTTACCTTTGTTTGAAGAACTTCCGGTCGAGTGGAGCTCTTTGTAACGAAGGTCCTTACGCACTGAAACAAAGGCCTCCTGATGCTAATGTCATAATTAGGCAACCACTGAGTCGATCAAGTATTGTGTGAGCACTGTTGGGTTAAACGAGACGAAGGAGCGAAGGAGTCAAACTGTATAAAAAGATATCAAAGCCGACTGAAATATATTTTTATTTGAGTCGCTTTGTCATTCCCAGGAAAACAGATCAAGGTGGGTGGATTAATCCCGTTAGCTTCAACCGAAAATTAGTCTCTTCATAGGAGTAAAATCTATGCGCTAAATGGTTAGAGCTTAATGGAAGCAACTTTGCAAAGATCTCTCCAAAGTCGTGACTTAATTGAAGAAACTCGGGCGGTTTTTGTAATTTCCAGTCGAGTCGGGGAACTCTTCGACGCATAATCAATAATCACTTTGTATCAAGCCTGAAACAAGTTTTTTAGTTCGGCCAGCAGCACTCAGAAATATAGAACCCCGTACGTATCTCACATGTGTAAAGCATGATAATTTACCAAATTTGGTGAACGAATTGATTGTAGCATCTAGACGGCGGAACATGAATGCAAAATTGCTATGCATATAGAATTAACCCCCTTGATAGCTAAGGTGTGTCAGCGAGTATTAGCGAATGAAACAACATGGGTGTCAAAAGTAAGAGCAGTGATACTTTATTCCTTAAAAAACAAAGGAAAGAATCAAGATATTTGGTATGTATCACAAAGAAACTCTGCTTTGACTCATCATTTTGCCCTTGGGTCGACATGTAACATTCTTTGTCGTCGGATTTAGGTGAATTTAAGACCCTCCACTGATTATCGGTCGAGGTTTTTTGGCGCCATAACGGACACGATTAGTCTCGAGAATTAACATATACGGGAGCCACGATAGAACGAACGGCATTCCAACATAAACCGCTGTTTAACGAAGGTGATCTTGCGTTCATTAATTTTACTTTGTATGGAAAATGACTGCGGCAGGACGAACCCCGTTACATTGAACACACACGCCATTCGGTTGGCACTCAAGGATCGCTCTGCACCCCTAAATATATCTATAATTTAAAACCCTTTTGACAAATATGTTCCACATCTGAAAAACAATTATTAAATCATAAGCCTTTTGAATAATTTAGTAATCCGCTATATTGGAGGAAAATAATTATGCTATTGATGGCGCAAAGAGAGCGCCATCGAGTTCATAAGCTTTGACTTTCTCGGTTACGCTTATTGGGGTTCAGTCGTATTCTAAGCCGAAGCTGTTCCAGTAACAGGGCGACTTTTCTAGATGAAAAGCCTTTGTGCCACCCTATATCTTCATGTCTTGATAGGATAAGGTTTGTATGGGCCATTGTTCTTTCAATTTAAAGCATCTAGGTGAAGTTCAACAATCTTATCATCTTCCGTCTGACGGAAATACGCTGAAACGTCTAATCTAAATTGTAACTAACATAACTCAACACAAAATATGGCTAGGACATCAAATTACACCTGTAAGTACACCCTGTTATCGAGTAGTCTACGACAAATTGTGTGGATCCTGATGGCCATTGATAGGTCAGTGCTGTTACTACAAAGTATTCAGGAGGAAAAACGCTACGGAAAATATAGGTCTTTGATCGGGCGAGAGTAACCAAAATGATTTTTCAACCAGGCCAACAAGGGTCTACCCCAGTTACGAAAATTAAAGCATTCTTGAAACTACTGATGGATACGATCCTTGTGCAAAGGAAAATTCCAGATACAATTCGATAAAACCTGTCCATCAGTGAAAGATCAGAAGTCGTCGACGAACTAAAACAGCTGATCGGTTTCTTTTTTCAGTTTCGCAAGAATGAGAGTGCCCAAAACAAGACAAATCCATGTAAGGAAAGGGGGTCAACTCTGATGTGATTCCAATGCGAGAACCAATTATTTTTACGATTGCTTATGCCGATAAAAAGTTGAAACTTTTCAGCAGGTCCTTGCAGTGTTACGAACGGGTTGAATTGATTATTTGGCATCGTGTTGTCTTAAAGCTCTTTCACACTTATTCGAAAGTAAGAAAATTTGTTCTTTCTTTTCCTCAATTAAAGAATTTCAAAGCGCTGTATCGCAGCGGTTCCTAACATTCTCAACTGATAAAGTCTCTGTCAAATCCGAGAAATTCTCAGAAGTATTTAGCAAAGCAGCCTCGTAAACGGAATGGAAGAATCTTTTAGGTTCATCTATTGCTCAAGTCTTCGGAAAGAAGCACTTAATCGCCATCTCACACATGGAATGCTTTAGCACCCCTTTAGGGTCTTCCTATCTTTGCTATCACGCAGGATAACTTTAATTTTTGTTTTATTTTTCGAAAACCAATGCAAGCTGGACCTCACACTTTAACAGGATTAGCGACAATGGTTTACTTTCCCATTAGGTTCTCTTTGAGTCAAATGTTAATACTTCGATTACGAACTGTAACTGTAATTTCCACGTGGAAAACGTGTTTGCGGAGTAAATTTTCCTGATAAAACTATTACGAAAGTGTAAGGAAATCAGAAAATAAATGGAGCTGATATTTCCATATTTTGAAGTAAAATTTCAATCAGTCAGAAAAAGATGGGTTCCTGACTTTCCCTTCCTAATCTGATTAATCTGGCAGGTCTAGTCTAAACCATTACCCAGTCCACGAGTCATGTTTTACTTCTTAGGTCTCTATTGTGTCGAGTTGCTATTTTAACTTTGATCCTATTTTCACCGAGTTTATATATCGTTGTGCTGACAGCATAGAAGTGATAAGCTCCGTAATACATTTCCTAGTATGTTTCGGGTGACCAGGGGTAAAACTGTTCTCAGAGGAGGTTGGCAGTGAGCAGTCTTTGTGGTCAAACCTGTTAATATCATTCTATTTGAAAACTAAATTAACTTTTCACATTCTCAGCGGCCAGAACTTACGGTTATTAGGTATCCCTATCTATTGTGTCTGCTCAACTTAACTTTCGGCTCATGAAATCCACTAGCAAGCAGACAGTTGAAGTTTTTCTGAGAGAATGTCTAAAATTTCTAACACCAAATTTGCAAAGATGGAATGTCAGAGAAAAAAAAAGCAACAGCCATTTTTTGCCTTGAGAGGGTGCTAACAGCAAAGCAGAAGATTATCTTCACAGCACACAGTTCCCTGACAGGCAGCTGTAGTCTATCCATAGAGCTAACTCTTCTAGGTTAGCTTTAAGACAACCAAAGCTATGCCCGAGCCTCTCATCCGGGATCCGACCGAACAAAATCATCAGAATAATATGTCTTAAAAATAGGAGGTAAAGATACTTTAAGCCCCGACAATCGTTGAACGATCATCTCCCAGGTGGTCATTGTGGTTGAGTCATTACGTGTCTTTTTCCTTATCATCACGTTTAGAAATCAGTGAACTCAAATCAACATTTTGTTCGAGTGTTTGCTGTAATTTTTGTTTCTACAGTCCAACCCTTTCCATGACGTCGTCTAGGTTCGGTCCTTGCGCGAGATAGCAAAGCGAAGCTATTCTATTGGAGAGCCCTTTTAAAACAAAGACAGACTTACGACATAGATTTAGAAAAACGTCTTATCATCATCATCATTGTCATTATTCTTATTACTATTATCACCTTGATAATAATAATAATAATAATAATATTGCTACTATAATCAATTATTGTAATTATCATTATTCCATTTTTCGTTTAAACCAAGTGTTTCTTTTTCGGAAACATGATAAATAAAAAGAACACGAAATAGGGGGAAGTCATTACCAAAACTAGTGATTGCATTATTAACATGGCACTATCCTTTCCGGAGAGAATCTGTAGCTCTACAGATGTTCCTAACCACGATAAAACCCCTAGATTGTTATCGTCTAATTCTCTTTATAACAAAATTTTAGAGACAATCTGACATCGCGGAATACTTTCAAAATTACCGGAACTGATTTCAAGATCTTGAAGATTTTGAAATTGTTGATATTATTAAACAGAGCAGAACTGTTGTATGAGATTACTCTCCGAGACAAAATTCCTTCTCATGATTCAGTAAGGGTTTATTCAGTTCAGTATTAAGACTTTCATCTTAACCAGCTATCGTGAAGACGTTTTTAAAGCTAAGAGAAACCAAATCATTGAAAGGAAAACAGAATAGTAAAGGACTTTAGTTGAAAGGCACGTATGATGATATTAGTGGCGTTATTATGTTTCATGCCATGAGAAATTCTATATACTTTGATCTCTACAAGAATTCTAAAATCCGGAAAGATCGAAAACTGTGGTACACGAATGGGCAATGTGATAAAATAAAGCCTTAACACCAACTAATTAGAGAAAGTATCCTGTCCCAGATTTTTTTTTTCTCTTACTTCCATTTTTTTCCCTCGCTCGGGTGCGCCAGTCTGGAATGAATAATTGATTCATCAATTAAATTAATCATGAACTGAACAATCAACCTTGATGAGGACGTTTATTTCCAAATACTTAACAAAAAAGTCCAACTCTCGCCCCATAAGCCTTTTTTCCTACTTGTCTATTGCCTTCCTTTCCAGTTTAATGACTTCGTTCTGCTAGCTTGTTTTGGCACCCTCATTACATCCTGAGGAAGTCACCCTTGACCCTCTTTCACTTCAATCCAATTTGCCTTTCTTAAATCTTTTCTTCTCAGACAAGGCCTGTATATTAAAGCCCATCTCAAGACGATGGACTTAAAAATAGCTTTTCTCAAGCAATTTTATACGGTCTGGTAGATGTTTGTGAATAGACAACATGATTTGTTCATGGGAAAAAATAAGTGGCTGAGTAATTTTCCTAACGATCCCTTCAGTTTTCCCACCAATCTGTTGCCTTCAGGGTAATTTAGCATCAACTGAGTTGATAGCGTAAATTGGCCTCCATTAAGGGTTACAAAGCTGACGTTTCGAGCGTTAGCCCTTCGTCATTCGCCGTTGCTCAAAACGTGGGCTTTTAAACTCTTTACGGTGGCTAATTCACGTTAGCAACTCAGTTGGTAAGACCAAATTACCTTGTTATACTCTCCCACCGACGCAGCACCACAGTTTCTTTTTATAAAGTTACCCCCTTTATTCCCTTGCCCTCATAGACAACTTGACTTCGAACCCCCATCATACACTCAAGGTGTGCTTTGTTGAGGAATTTTTTTCCTTTTTTTGATAATCCAATTTATTTTTCTATCAACAAGTTGTATCGATATATGGCACGTACACACCCGTAATAGATGTTTCGCGCAGTAAGACAAGAATGACCTTTCACCAATAAGTTTCCCCGAATGAACAACTCTACCACGACAATGTACTTCAAGCTGTCATCTGAGAAATCAAAATAATAATTTATCCCTAAAGCACAAGGGGGGGGGAGTCAGCAAAGGTTTCACAGTGTCAGGGCGAGTACCAATATCACAAAAAGAAAAGTGAGGCGAGAAAGAATACCGTTAACAGAAGTCTTTCAAACGAACACCCAGCTTGATAAAAAAATCAATGACTAAAACAAAATGCATATATATTACATATATACTTTTCTTTTTATATTTCGTCCGGCACGACCCAACTTCTCTGATATCAGCGGCCTAAAACTAAACATAATCATTGTGACACTATTGTCAACACAAAGGGATATTCATATATAACAAGAAAAAAATTGTTTAAAAAAAACGTTAAGTATTTTTTTCATAAAGACGTTAGCATTTTCCTTTTAGACTGGTTATTCCATACTTGGGTACCCTGTGTGTGCACCGTTCCCAAAATAGCGCAAATGAAATTTGCATGTCCTTGACCGCCGGTTGCGGTTGTATCACGCACAAACAATTATTCTTTTGCGCTCCCCGCGGCTCTAAAATTACTACTTATCCAAACTGTCATCCCAGTTGATTCATAAAAGCCCCCTATGTTTGCTGAATCAAGTTCTGTCGCATTTGGTGGGGTGCATTTAATTTGGTTGTGTACACAAATAGGCATTCCTGCGCTGTCGAGTTCCTCTGAGACGCAGAAAATTAGCAGAGGGATTGCTGGCGTTAATTCAACGTCACGAAGCCCCTAGCAGGTGTTTGTTTTGATGGAAAATAGGGCTATGGACAAAGCAGGAAACCCCTAACAAAGACGTTAACACTCTTCTTGAGCCATAATTACATCTTGGCACTTTCGGTACCTTTTGAAGTGCAAAAAACAAGAAGAAAGATGCGTTTGATTCTTTGCTTGGCTTTTTCGAAAGGCATAATAGAGATGGACCTTCGCAATTTTAAATGTATTAAAGAAATATTCTATCGCTGTTAGGAAATAGCATCGGCGACTTAGGTGTTAGAATTCAAATATTTTAGCGAACCTACTGGAAAAAAGCAAGATAACTGACGACCGGAAACTATATTGTTTATGGAGAAGCAATTGTGTATATTGTTCTTTTTTTCTCATGAAGTCGAGCAATATCATTTTGGTTTAGTTGTTTGAAAACTTCGGTAAATAACTGGACACTTTTAAACAGAAGATTCATTTTCAAGACTTCGGATCAAAAACTGCCACATATTTAAGATTTCAACGCTACCGCAATCGCTGGCCTTAGAGCAGATTTATAACGGCATCCAATATTCAAACACCCCTCCAGGCCAATACGCCACTTTCAAGTGTTGGGTTACCGGACTCGAAATGTCGGTCTCTTTCCATCTGCATACGCTAAAAGCGTTTCGGCAGATAATTAAATTGATCGAGAGTTGACGTGTTTGATTTTTCTATTTCTTTCTAAGCCACCATTCCCGAGTACTTGCTGGTTTCTGGGCAGATTTGTTTGTCATCTTAAATCGCATCACACTAGATCGGAAACTGGTATCGGAAGTGATGGGTTTGATGGCATAGTGGTTGACCCAATTTTCGGTCTCCTTTATAAGGGTGACATGAACCCCATGAAACTCTAAGCCATCACTTACATCGATATCAAGTGTCTTTATAGCCTGGATCCAATCCTGTAGTTTCCCTAACGCGCGCTTATCAAAGCAAAGAAACAAGAACAAATATACAAACTACTCGCGCTGTCAATCTTGGGCCGAAAATTAGAGCAAGAGAATTGTTTCAAGGAGTTGACAGTTACCAGGAAAACACGAGGTCACAAGCGCTCCAACCGAATACTGCAAGAAACTAAGAATTCTGGAGCAAAGTGCGACGCAACGATCAGAAGGCAAGAAATGACAAACCTCCTAGGATTTTGAGTACATTCTATGAAATGTTTAGAAGGTTCATTATGTAAATGAAAAGACATACGAACGAACCCTTTGTCTGTTGCCTTTGTTCTAACCAGAATAAAACCGGAAGTCACATTGAGTGAGACTGTCTTCAGCAAGCAATATGGCATTTTAATAAACAGATAAACAGGCCTTCCATTGATGTGCGAAAATTTTTCTAACGCTGTTTCCCCATGTCGGAAGGAAGTTTGCAGAAATGTAAAGATACACAGTTTATCGACAGATCTTCTGTTTTTATTTGATTGCCACGCGCACACGATAGATTGAAAAGCAAATGTCTTGCTAAGCAATCGATTCAAAAGGGGCGGATGCATGACGTCACAAATCACAATAGTTCGTGGGCGGTGAAATTTTCGTTTTTCTGTTTGTAGCTCAAGGCAGTGATGTGAATACTGAACTCATTCGAGTGCTCCACGCGTGAGCTGTTGTTCAAGTTAGTTATCAAGTACTCGCAAACCGCGCGCGCAGCTTCGTGTAGAGTTCTCAATCACTGGTTAGTCGCCCGAACGCGCTGGAGTGTAACGTGTGTTGGGTTTATTTGCTTTCTGAATGGATAAGTTTACTGACCAATGTCGCGATCAGTAAGAGTCCCGACTACTGCCGGAAACATTCCTCCATTTCCTGCGCTGGCAGTGCATTCTCAACACGGAACTTTTGTTTGATTACACTGGGCATTCGAGAACGATTTGTTGTGAGTATTTTAAATTAGGTGCCTGTATAACTGCTAACGTCGGTGTAGGTATGGGAAAATGAATATCACTTTTCTGTTACAACTCCAGCTGTATGCCCTTCAACCTCTAGCATTCTGATACTATATATAAACCCGTGTTTTGATTAACGTAATGTTAATTGATGAAAGCTTTATTCATGTTCATTTAGGTCCCAAGGGTTTTCATTTGGTCAACGTACTTTGGGTTTAATTTTTCAGGTCGCCTGTAGTTCTCCCGTTTGCTGTGGCCTTATGATGGCGTTCGGAATTCACTCGCTGGGTCGAGGTGAACCTGAAGACGCCTGATCCCGGCGAAATTAATCTACAGCGTTTTGCATGAGGTCTGTTTGAATGGCGATCAATGTTTGATGGCGGTAGAGACAGCCATAACTATACACGAGAACCCTTTGGAAAAGACCATTGTTTGGGAGAAAAGGAGTGTGGAATACGACTCAAAACATCGGATACGACCACACAACACTGTTGGAAAAGTTGAGACGATTGTGAGTAAAGATGAATATCACTCTGACTATTGTGTTATCGCAGCGGCCACGAAGCGAGAGACGAGCACTACACCTCGTCAGCCGATCTTAGTAGCGGATCGTGACATGCGGTTAAGTTTATCGACTCCCGCCACTAACCGAACGTTCAATGCATTTGTTAGGAGGCACACGGGAGGAACTATACGAAATACACAGACACAGGTTGTAACTTCACAGCCGAGACCCACATTACGGGCAGCATCGGCGCAAATATCACGATCGACTTGTCGAAGTAGTAATGTACTCCAAAGCAAACATTATGAAGATGAAGATGTCAAAATTTTTTGCTGTAATCGGGACGTGGACGTGTTAATAGACTATGCAAGTTGTATGTGCGGGGTCAAAGCGGTGTTGTATCATTGTTCGAAGGATTCGTTTGATGAAGGCAGTTTGGCAGAGCACCCGTGCTCATGTGGTCCCCCAAGTAAATCTTGTTTCGGAAGATGGGGTTGCTTGGCGGCTTGCTCTTTATTTCTGCCGTGTCTTTTTTGTTATTTACCGCTGAAAGGATGTTCTGAGATGTGTTTTTGCTATAAAAGACAGAGGAAAGACATGAATTGGCAAAGAAGACCCAAAGATCCTGTCTAACTGTGCCGCATTGGTGCAGGCCAAGAATAATTTATAATTTTAGCTAAGCGGGGTCGTATCGAGCCCTCGAATTGAAATTTGTCTATCAAATTCATATGCCTTATTTATACCTTCCTTGTAAATATCAAATTTGTTCAAAGGAGGCCCTCTGTTAATAATTATTATAGTGGTCGTCGCGTAATTACGCGAAGCTCTCGAGGGAAAAATTAATGCCATTTAGCTTCTGTTGTGTAAGGCATTGCCCTGGAAGCCGAACTGATGTTTTCACGTGAGGAAAGCGTTTTCCTGTTGCTCGCTTAGGGGCCTATCTGTGGAATCTTCCCTAATGAGAAAGACATAGACACTAATTTCATAACTGGAAACTATGTACATGAATTTTTTTTTAGTTAAAAAATTAAAAAATTCTTGTACAGTTGGTAGATCCGTTTATAAGGTTGGTATCCCCGGGAGTATACATGTCTCTAACATTTGCTCCCGAGAGACGGATTTTATTATTCTTCTAACGATATTCTGCATTTTTCGAATCCACAGTTTACATATGCAAGGTCAGAATTTACATTTAAAGCAGTATCGACGGGCTATGATGGCAAACTACGAGTAGTAATATCAATATTTAGGAAGTTATTTGAATCTTTGGAAAGGACCCGCAGCATGTGAAAGCTTATGAAAGGATACCTCTTGTTATGACGGATTTCGAGGTGATTTGGGTCAGTTTCTCAGTTAGATATTTTCTTTCAATATACAACTCCAGAGAATTAGTGTGTCTCTTTTACATTTAAAAATTGTAAAGAGACGTGATCTAACTACAACCTGACAGATTCCTGTAAGCACCGATAACACAGTGCGGCTGATGTTCTTGACTGAATACATGTGACAAAAGATCATGACCTTGGTTTTAGCAAGATGGATTTTCTTTTTGAGAAGCTAAGGCTTTCGGTTCGCAAACTCAACCCGCCTACTAATGCTTTAATGAGACGATGAGCAGTCAAGTATTTTATTTCAAAAGTTGATGATTTGTCCACCGCGCGGTCAGTCCTTCAGCTCACTTTCAATTAATAACTCTGCCCAAGTGTAAATGTTTGTTATCGCTATTCAAGTGATTTCTTTGTCGCAAAGAGCTAAACAAGTCTTATAAACTTTCGCTTAAAATTGGTTTGAAACTAAAGTGATTGCCTTTGAGACGACTTGTGACTAAACAAATTCGTGGCTTATAAACCGATTAATCGTGGTTAGAATTTCTCTCACAACTGTCAAATTTTAAGAACAAGGAGAAAATTGAGTAAGGACTGATAGAAGTGTATACATTACGCAAGAACGTAAGCTCTTCGTTTCGTTCGAAATACTACTTAAAGTTATCGTGATTTGCGGTTTTTCATCGATCCATATTTTATGACACATGTGTTCATGGTACACAATGCCGAATGAAGGACCAAAAATGATGATTGATTTGCCTAATTACCCTGAGTTTTCCTCCCGTTTGGCTTGAGTCAGAACACCAAACTTGGAACAATATGCTGGACAAGTTTGTATTAACGTTGACATTCGGCGGATTTTTCTCTCGTTATGACGTTGTACCTCGTTTTAATTACACTTACATAGAGCTGTAGAAATTTTGATATTCTTCAGTTGATAGAATTTGCATTGTAATTTGTATGTTCAAACAAAAGCGCAGTCAGTTTGCGCTCGGTGTTGATACACACACGACAAAAACGTTTTTCCGTGAGTTCATCGAGGAGTTGGTTTAGGAATCTTTTAATGATCCTGTCGCTTTCCGGTTTAGCTGTGATTACTAAGAATTATCAATATTTTTTAACAAAAAAAGCAAAACATTGTCATCATTTTCAAATTTGTCTCCCTTCTTTTATTATAGCAACGATACTGAACAATTGCAAGATTCACATCTTGTGCATAGAAATAGAAATCCCTGATTCAAACTGCGTGAAAAAGCTATCTTGCTCTGTTTACATCCTTGGCGTGAGCCTGCTCGCTAAAGCACCTGTCCTTAAAACGTCATAAGCAATTGCGTCGAGCACTGAACTAATTTTTTTCGCACATCAAAAGAGCTAGCGTCAAAGGAGAAAAATCGGCCCAAAATTCGTGAACTAGGAGAAAACATTATTTTGCAAAATGATTGGAAACGTTCTTTAATTTCATAATTGTAATTTTGGATTACGTCAGCAACATTTCAGTCTTGTTTGAAGACGATGACCAATAAGTATACTTCCCGTTAGTATTGCCCACGCGGCGCGAAAAAAGGCTGATAGACAATAATAGAATTGGCGAGTCATTTTCCGTTTAATAAACAATTAGCAGGAAATAGTTTATTGCTCGCTACCCACAAGATGGACAAATTAGCCAAGACTTTCCAATTCCTGAGGAAGTTTGATAACATTGGACTTAATTATTATCTAAAATCTTCACTAACTTTACTAAGATTCTGTCATTTCTGTTAAGAGCATCCGATCTCGCTGTTTTGGTAATGACATTAAATTAGTTTTTGGAAAAATACCTTGTAAACATTTTTACAAATGCTACTGCTTCACGTTTTGCTTTTTTTCCTATTGGTTTTAATTTTGCCTCACAGGATTTTTTTTCTCGGCTAAATTCAGAGAACAGAGAACCAGCCGCGATCGGGAAACTGCGACAAAACGATTCGTTTTTGTTATCGTGAATCTTACCGTTTCTCACTTTTTTCCAGATATTCTGATAACCACTAAGCAGATCCTACTCAGTCAGTTATGTTCATTCCACATGCTAACGTGTCAGTGTTCATTTCTGACAAGTGTGTCATTTTCCACATACTTCGATGGCTTCCCTAAAAATGCATCACAAGAATTTTTAATCTTTAGTACTAATTTATTTATCTTAAGGGTGCATATCCGCTGGCGGAAAGACAAAATCAGCTCCGGAAACCAAACGTAACAGTCGTTGCTTTGTTTTGACACTATGTGCAATCACACATTAACCTTGATAAATTTCCGTTCTCTCGCAAAACTCCGGTAAATAGTCTTAGCGATAGGAAATTCATTATCTAATGAAATTAACGAGACGCCTGATCTTGATTTTGCGGCCTTACAAAGCCTGACATCTAACCTCTGTTCCTGTTGTGTAGTCAAACTATACCTAGAAATAATTTCCGGTCTTGTTGCGCAATAAAACAATTAAATCAAAGAACTGATCAAAACTGTAAAACAAGAAAAAGGACAGAAACAGTGTGACACACTCAAGTACCACAACGCAAAGAAAGCCTTTCTTAGTGATAATCAGGGTACTCCTGGAACAGGATATCGTCATCGAACTCAACTTGAGGAGAGAACAGGCGGAATCAGTCAATGTCTTTGCTTTTCTCCCCTTGATAAGCAGCCAAACAACATGGCCATGATTGTACCCGATGAGTTATGATATTTCCCTCTCACCAGATTTTAAACACGTGATGTGGCGGCGAATATGAAAGTAACGGAAACAAGGTTATTGAAATCATTGACCCGGATATACCTTTGTCAGATACAGAAGATAACAATTTCGATCTCAAGTATCTGTGCCAGATTTTCTGGGCATAATTGAATATTGTAGACGTTCTCAGTAGCGAAAAAGTTTAACAGTGAAATTTTGAACAAGACTATCAGTGTAATTGGTTCGACTTTCCTCAATCACGCCAAATTAGAGTATGTTTCTCTGTTGTAGCCCGAATGTTATAAGAGTACAAACACCCTAGGAGCATTAAACAGATTCCTATGAAAGTAATTTCATGGGCTTTGATCACAATCATGCTGGTAGCTAGTTAGGAATCAAGGAGAACCTAAACAGGTCAAAATCAGCATTAAAGAAGATGTTTAGGGTAATGGTAATTTACTTCCTTCACAGAAACGACCGATTTAAAACATATTTACCACACTGATTTAATGAATTTTCTTGTTATCCTTTGTACTGAGAGCCTATCAGTATTGGTTCTAGTCGCATTCCGTCTTCACAGCACTCAGGCACTTAAGTTCACCGAACTACTGAGATATTGAAGTGTCATGTTTACAATGATGACTTTATATTTACACGATAATCTTTATAGCTTCGTATTTTCGAAATGAAATAAAGACAGGAACTGGACTGTATTGGGTTACCGCTTCTGCTCTCTGCCTTGGCCGCCAACGGAAAGAGATGCGTGCAGTGTAACCTGGGGTAGCGGCTGCAGACGCTGGGGCTCCCCACACAATCTCAAAGACCTGAAGAGAAACGAGCAGTCGGTGCGCCAATAATTCAGCTTTTAGGCCTTAGATTTCACGTGCAGTGTCATGGGTACGCCTGGTTTTATTATCATATCGAGACGTCACGTGACACGGCTTACATGAACAGTGATTTACGAGATTTGGATGAAACCCAAAAAAGTGATAGACATCATATTACATTTGAAGCACAGGTAAATCTGGACGACTTCATAAGTTTCTTATGATCAAAAACCAGCTTCACTCTTCTCTAAGTTTTGTAGCCTTGGACTTAGTAGGCGCGTTGAATTAAGGAATGGCCCAATGGGGAAGCGATGACTGAAACACTCTTTTCTATCAAGTTTACGCTCTGGCGTAAGGGTCCTCAGTTTGTTGATCATACGAATACTGCGTCTCATTTTGCTAGGTAGATTCTAAAAAGCACTCCATATGGACTCAAGGACTAATTACAGATAAGAGTTTCCGTTTGCTTTCTCATACCGCTGACGACACCGAAATTGCGAGTTTTCTAATATATAACTGCATGGTGCTTGAAGACTAACCGCCTCGTTAAAATAAATGGTACTAGCAACATTGAGCCCTTTGTTTGCATGATTTAACTTCATCGACACATTACCACCATTTTTATTTAAATGTAGTTAGCTCTTCTGCTTTTGTAATAGTTGATCTTGACTACAGCTTCGAAGAAGCATTAACACGGAGCAATCACTCATTAAACTGACGCATCTTTAAACTTTACCTAAACTGCTATTTCACTTAAAAGAAAAAAAAAACATAAATACTTTGAAAGAGATTAAATATTTTTCAAACGTCAGATTTCCCCCCATTATCACTGACAAGTTTGGGTGAAAAGAAACAAAAAAAATTCTTCAAAAGAATTCTGATACGTTTTAGCGCAAGCGAACCTCAATGTTTCGATTGGAACTTCGGTCTAGAACTTTCCTGGGTTATCATAATATCATAAATTACCTCTTAGGTATGAAAGGGTAATTACAATCAACCAAACGGACACGTTTCAGGGTCAACATCGGTCTAGAACGTTCATCTCGTATTTCTTAATTTTGCCTTTCCACAGTCAAAAATATTACTGTGAATATTCTCAAAAATAATTCAAAAGGTATAATGATGTACATTATTCCTACACTATCTCCTTTTAAGATTATAAAAGACTTAAAGTAACACTGGTGTAAGCCGTTTTCCGTGATGATTATGGTCATACTTACTACATAAGTCTTTCAAGTAGAGCTCAAGAATCTCCGTCTTTAAAGAGTCCTACAATTAATCTTACACCATGAGTCACGCTATCAAACTGTTAAAAGTACTACCCTTTACAGAGCTGAACTCGATTACACGCGAAATTGATTCACTTCAATTTTCCCTTCGTTCCAAACGAAGTTGTTCTCCATCGGTTTTGGTAATGTCTTGAGCATGTACATGCTTTGTTTGCTCCAGGTTGAGCATTACTGGTGCCCTCAGAGCTCACAGAAGTAGTTAAGATATAGTTTCTCCTTTAAGTATCAATAAATTATCCATCAAAC